GTAACACACACACCACACAGCACAACACACACAGACACAACACAGCACAACAACAAACCAACCCCACACACACACACAGACACGAAACAGACACCCACACCACCACAGGTTGAGCATCCGGGAACTTCACGGAGGTCTCTTCCGTGCTTCTGACTGGCTGGTGGGAAGCCCTCATTCTCACTCCTGGAATTTGTCCCAATTCTGTTTACCTCTTTTAACAACCCTCCTAGTCAAAAAAAGTACATCTAAAAACCGTTTAGTGATTCTGGCTCAGTGTTAAGAAAGCCTCTGTTGTGTCTCAGGATCTCATGTTATATGCGTATATTGTAGACCATTTCTGATTCTGTTTCTCTGGTGGTTTTGTGTGTTGTGCTAACTCTCCCTGCATCCCTGGTCTTGTCAACTTTCTTGACATTCTGCATGTTGATTTTATTGTCTGTTACATGGGCTTGGCTTTCAGAAACTGCTACAGGGACTACGGTGTTTAAGTCACTGGAAAAACCCAACACTTGCCTGCATTTTTGGTGGCTTTCGATAATAAAACAGGAAAACAAAAATAACCTTTTAAAATGATGTATGTTAACCTCTTATAGGAAAGTTTATGGGTGTTTATCTAACGGGCACACACACACACACAGTAGCATCGGGACTCACCGGAGGTCTTCTTCCGTGGCTTGTCCTGACTGCTTGCTGGAAGCCCACATCATTCTCCAACTCCTTGAAATTGGTCAATAACTCCTGTTTACTCTTTACACAACCATTGCCCTAGTCAAAAAATCCGTACATTTCTAAAAAACGTTTTGGTTCTTTTAGGATTTTCACAGCCCTATTGGAAATCTGTTTTTTTTATTTCTTGGTGCCAATAAAATACTTTACATACTAGGATTATTGCTAAAAAAAATGTTTTCCGTTATAACGTTAAGAGAAATGTTTGGTTCTTGTAAGATTTTCATTCTGTATTGGACATGTCCAATGTACACACTGAAGCTAACACTATTAAATAATTAAAAACCACTGGTGTTGTCGTGTGTAGCATTAGTTATTAGCTGTATACTTGAATGCAAATGACTTTGAGCTGGCTGCCAACTTCACAGCTAGCTAATATAGCACATAACTCACCTCGGAGTCAAATGTTGGATTATAGTCGTTGTAACCCGAATAAAGATCCTCCTCCTCCACAGCCAGGTGTACATTTTCCATGTCTCTTTCTCCAGTGAGGTGGTGTAACGAAATGCTCATGGATATGTGGGGAAAAACTGTTATCTAAAGCGAAGCAACAGCAAAGCTGGTTTGTTGTCGTTTCAGGATTCAATCCCACAATTCAAAGCGGCATGGGCGGGACCTGTCCGTTCACAAACCTCTGACTGGTTCCTTACGCGTCAATCATTATTCAGCATTAACATAATTGGTCGACGCTGAGTTCATCCGTTGCTAGGATACAAGCGTAAACTACCCGCTCGACCTTTTTCGTTTCAAGCACAGTTTCATGTCAGGTTCGTCTTGGAAATATAACTTGAACACTAGCAGCTAATTAATGGCGGGTATGTTATTTGTGCTTTAGTTTTAAATAAAATATAATGTGTTGTGCACTCTTTTGGGTTCTTTGGTCCTTCTAGGTTACCGTAGCAGTATAGCAGCGTGACTCCGGAGGGGCGGGGCCACAGTTTTGATAGAACCGGTGCAGCAGTACCGTCAGTGTAACATTTGTCTGAGCTGAACTCATAACTTCTCAAAATGAGCTCTTCTGACATGAAGATCATTACTGTGATCGGCAGGTGAGCAAGAGAGGGGGATTTTATAGTGGTACACTTTGCTCCCACGTTATTATGCTAATTAGCTGTGAAATGTTGTGATAGCTACGTTACTGAAGGCTACGTTATATATTTTGACTTTAGTTTAGTGATCGCATTTTCATGCTTTTACCGTGCAGCCCTATGCTGAAGGACTCTTGGCATGATGTAGCCAACTAAAGTTTATTTTCTGAACTCTTCCCTATCAACTATCTTTCATTATAATCCTGGCTGTTATGGACTAGGCTCAATCCATTTGATTAAGTACCATAGCAGTTGTGTGGTATATAATGTAATGTCTGTTCATTATTTCTACTCACCCAACTAAACTGGCAGTCACTCTGAAATGACCTCTTGTGGACCTGGGAAGTAAATACAAAACGTCACAGCCAACAAGTCACTCCTCTTTTTTTACAATTTTGGAGAATAACTTACAGTATGTGCATTATTATGTGCCTCCATAAATATACAGACAAGAAAATCAAGATTTGCAAACTGACACTTAGACACAGCGTAAACCTGCAGGCCCCTCGCTGTGTAACTGACCTTCCTGTGTGTGTAGGGAAGAAAAAGTGAACTGCTGGTAAGTTATAAAAGCAGACATAACGGAAGCCAGGATTTATGTTGCGTGTCCATGAAGTAAAGTGATGTGCAGACAAACACAGCAAAGACAAACACCAAAAAAAGACCAGCGGCCAATTGTGACGTGAATGTTTAATGGAATTTCAGTTTCATTACAGGGAAGAGTGAACACCTGAAATGTCTATTGTGTGTGTGATTGTGTGTGTTTCAGCGGGCTGATAGGCCGCTCCTGGGCTATGGTGTTTGTCAGTGGAGGCTACTCTGTGAAAATCTATGACAACCAATCAGGACAGGCTGCAAAGGCCATCAGAGAGATCAGGTCAGCCCTTCTACACTATGCTGCAGTCCTTTATAGCATAAACCATCATGTAATGTAGTCTGAACTGCTGTAATATAATATCTGCTTTCCATAGTTAGAGACACACAACATTTTCTGTGCATTTAGATTACATCCTCCTGTCAGTCAGATAACAGAGGTATTGATGCTGTGGGCCTATTGAGACATTGCGCATCATGTTGGGCTGTACAAATGAACTTTACATGACTTTGTGAAATTGTGTTAACTTGTGATTTCTTGGTCTGCTTTTCTGGGACTTTATTATGATAGGTTGAGTGTGTTTTCATTATTTTATTTTAGGTTGAATTTGATATTATTTGTCATTATAACTCTTAAATCCATGTAGGGTTGCAGCGGTATACCATGGTATGTAAAGTGACAGTTATCATACCATGTACATTTGCTTAATTCTTCCGTATTAGTGTTATTTAAAAGAAAATACAGGACCGTTTTGATTCCTTTAAGGGTTAATGTAACTGATGATAATAACTGTATATAGATACACTGTGATTCTGAGATGGTTACTGTGAAATAATCTGATATCGTTGAAACCCTAAATACATGTTAATAAAACTAAAAGGTAACCTGTTTATAGAGACATTTACAATACGGGTGGATCACAGTAGCTTGTAAATGTTTAATCGGACTTGAGTGAACTCGTAGTTTTATGCTGTCAAAGGTTTTCACTAGAAAGATTTTAATGCCTTTTGCTGAGGAAATATTGGAAAATCTATTGACTGTGGCCTATACCAATAAAATAGAGCTCAGTGGCATTTGCCTTGTGATGATTTTCGGTGTTTTGAGCACCACAAACCAAATTCCACTGAGTTCCAGTTGAGGTACTGTCAATATATGCAAGCCTCAGCAAATTACGCCAAAGCTATCTGAATGGTACATTACAGTGACTTTCGTGACTCTTGAGCATGTGATGATCAGCCGCTTAATAAACATAAAAGTTTTTTAATATTATAAACGGTTCTGTGCCATCCTTATCAGACGCTCTAATGGCTTTCTAGTCAACAGGGCTGCATGAAGAGAACATTAACGAGACATACAGACTGGACTCCATGCACTCGTGAGGCCCCTTGTCTAAAATATGACCTGTTCTTCCTTCCAGTGCTTACAGAGAAGACACATGGACATTGCATGATCAGTGACTTCCTCTTACTGCAGGAACACATGGACAAACACATGCTCAGGCCTAAAAACTCCTTCATAGCCTAGTCATCGCTAGTTAAACATTACTGGTGAATGACAAAGGGTTTTTGGTGAAAACTACTATTTTGCTCATGGTGGGAGTTGTTGGGCCTCTGTATGTAATTTCATACAATCTAGACCCGATGTAAAAAAGTAACATAAGATAACTTCTGTTAATTTGGCACTATATAAGTAAAACTGAATTTAATACTGTGGAAAGTACTGTCGGAAAAAAACAACCTTATATATAGAAGATCTACAGCCGTCATTATGTCTTTAAATTATCTTTTAAATCACTCATCTGCTGCTGCCTCCGGTGTTTACCTGTAATTGTTCAGACTGTTGTAGATTAACATGTCATTGCACTGGTCTCTCAGACTCCCTTTGTGTGATTTCTTACTGAACACGTTGTGAAGGATTGTCCCTAAACCTGAAATTAGTGTATACTTAAAATCAATGTGGACAAAAATAAAATTCATATCTGTATGTCAAAATTATAGCTCTGCCAATTCATTCTGGTATGTACATTGGTTAGAAAACCAACCTGACAGCATTCAGCCGTCTACGCACAACCAAACTGAAGGTTCTCTGGAGATCTCTGTGTCAATTCTCAATCTGTTTTCAAAATTAAGATTATTATTTAGATCTTGCCTTTATTAAACCATTAAAATCTGCTGAATTTTTTATGATTCCTTAGACATTAAAAGAGTACTGTGTGAGAAAGTGTGTATGAGTGTTCACTCTGTTGGTTCAGGAAGCAGCTGGAGGAGCTGGAGGGAGCCCACATGCTGAGAGGGGAGCTGACCGCCACGCAGCAGCTCGCCCTGCTCAGCAGTTCCGATGACCTGGCTCAGGCACTGGAGGGAGCCTTCTTTGTCCAGGTGATACACTAGACCACTTGCAGCACCAGCACATGCCATTCTGTCTGTTTGTCCGCCGTGCTAAAATCATTGGGAACTACAGATAGAGTGGTCTCTGTTGATTATGTTTGTTTTTATCAGACACTTGTTTGTCCATCATGCATTTGACACAACACATGGATCCCAGCTGTAGTCAGACTTTAATGAAACTTGGGTATTTTTTCGAATGTTTATCATTTGTGACCCAATGGGAACGCTATATTGTTGGTTGTTAAATTCCACAGATTATCCTCAAGGGGGCGCAACATCATTGCTTAATTGTATGACGCCTCAGACACCACTGATAAGATTGTGAATTAACCTTAACATTACATCTCACAGCTGAGTTTCGGCATTTTGCAAAGTTTAGACTGATTTCCCAAAAGTTGTGACTATTTTATGTTTCACTCTTCCTGCCATAATAGACATTACTTTGCTTATCATACAATGTAGTAGAAGTATGACACTCATCAATCTCCTATACACTTTTCTAAGCAGGTACTATATGTACATAACAACATTTAAGGCTAAATTGCCTCCTACTACTTTGTCCTCATTTACTATACTACTACGTATTATGGGTCAGAAGCAAGAAATGTCTTGGATAGTGCAGATGATATGTTGTGGTAAATGTTGTAATGTAAATGTTGCAGACAGTTGCAGTATATATTACATATATATAAAAGCCTTTTTTATTTAGGGTAGGCTACCCTACGTTAATTAGGGTAGGGTATAAACTGTGCAAAACAATGCATATTTCCTTTACTTTGTAAAAGTGAATCTGATGTTTTTGCGCCTTGATAACATGATTGATACGAATCTCACTGATTTTAAACTTCACATACTTGAATTGTGATTTAAGTGTCTCGCAATATATCTTTATGATAAATACAATACATTTCAGCATATTACTGGTGTTACTTAAAATGATCATTTTACAAACTTTACGACTAGCACTGTTGCCATCTTTCATTGTGAAATGAAGCCACACTCTAGACTGTTTCTTCCTCTCCACCGTGAGTCCTTCTTGTATGTTTCCAGCAGCTTATATGTATGAGTTTGACGCCATTGTTTTGCAAAGTGGAGCTGTCAGAAAAACATGCGGCATTAATTCATCGAAAAGGAATTGATAAGCTTGTGGGCGTACAATTCCAAGGGATTGGACTATCTGGATCTGGTTTGATTGATCGAATTTGATTTGATTTTGATAAAAGGCACTTATCTTAGGCTGATTTGTGTAATGTAACGTTGCTTTCTAATACCTATTTATTAATCTGAGAATTACATACCTTTTGGTATGTAACTATTACTATTAACTCACAACCTGATGTTTTCGTACTAACCTGAATATATCAGGGCTTGCTGAGCTTTCTGTTTTGTAATCTAACTAATAGAGCTTTCAGACATCTTAACACCAAACCACTCATCTTGTCTTTGTCAAGGGAAGAGCACAAACGCAGACTCAACAATGGATACTTGCCTATCCTAACTCAGTCATGTGTAATGCAGCCACTTCAGAAAAAACAATAGAAAGTTAACTTTTTAAGCCAAGAAAATGTCCTGTATGAAACCCTGACTTTGTCAAAGCAGACAATAGTGCTTTTCATCACTGTAGTGGTGGTCAGAGCACAGAGGGACAGGCAGGGCCAAAATAAATCAATACTCACCTTAACAGGGAACAATAGAGGACTTATTAGAAACAGGGAAATACCAGGTAGAGAAATGCAAAGTTTTCCTGTTCACATAGCCACCCTCACATGTCCTGATAGCGTGACACCATCTGATCCAAGTTCTACCATTTTATTGATCACAGCTTTTCTAGTGGAGGTACAGGAGTTTGTCTCTGTCAGATTGCTCACAGAACATCAATCAATAACTCCTGAGTGACATTAATCCATACTAGCCTGCTAGCTGCATGGCCTCATGCTTGTTGCATGGGAACAGTACAGGACATAACATTAGATAGTAGACTCTACATAGCACTCCTGACATTCCTGACATTCCTCATCTCTGTCAATATGTTTCCAGACAGTTGTTTTTCCATATCCAACGCAGTGCTTGAATCAGATAAATCTATTGTTTCCCTGTTGGGGGAGAGGAGATATGACCTTCTGCAAATCAAAGTATCACTTTAAAAAGTCAAATAATTCATGAAATTGCTCAAATAAAACTTTAAAAATATAATATAAGTAACGAATACAAAGTTAAACCGATTTATAGACTGAGAATAAGAGCAAGATGAATGAATAGGATGTACATTTATAGAAAAGGTCTGATTGGAACTGTTATTTTCCTTGGAACAGGAACCCGCTTACGTACTCACATTGTTAATGAGTGGAACATTGCCTTATTACACATGCATTCAGCACGTAAGCTGCTTGCCTAGCCAGTTATTGCAGTTCTACATACTTGACGCATTTGACGCCATTTGAAGAGCCTTTTAACTTTGCACTACTGCTTTTGACAGACACTCCTTTCCAACACGTTCAGGGCAGACCAACAATACAATACAAACCCAAACTGGTTGTATCCAGTTTTTAAAGTGTAGGAACAATTTGACCTTACACATATTTATCAGAGTACATCTTCAGTGGCTATGTAGTAGAAGTTTGTTTATTTATTGTTGTGATCATTAACATTTTTATCTTTACTATATTCACAGCATGATAAATGATGACTGATTACAAAGCGTACAAAGTTAAACCCAAATTATAGAAGAAAAAAACCTTTTTACTCACCCTTGGTGGCATTTTCTCTACTTTACTGATACTTTTTAAATCCAAAGGAAGGTTTGATAAGTACGGATATACTGTAATCTTACAAAGATCTTGGGTAGAGATAATAATACTAATAATTTACTTAATGTGTTACATAAAATGAAGGGTTGACAGTGGTACATTTCTCTCAGTGACTTTACAACTTGTGTGTGTGTGTGTGTGCGCACACATCTGTATATGTGTTCACTTTACCTGTATGTGTGCCCATGTGTTTTCCAGGAGTGTGTATTTGAGCAGCTTGAGGTCAAGCAGAGCGTCTTCCAGGACATAGAGGGTCTTGTTGGAAAAGACGTCATCCTGAGCAGCTCCACCTCCTGTCTGGTGCCAAGCAGCGTCTTCTCTAAAGTACAGAACAGGAATCGCTGCCTCGTCTCCCACCCGGTTAGTGCTGCTACAGTCCTGGTACCAGCAGGTAGTGGAAAGAGACAAACTACAAACTGGGGAAGTCAGCTTAGTTCATGTCCCTATCATGTATTTATAGGTACCCCTCCCATATCACAAATTACTTCTATATTTAGTGGACAGGGCTGCCCATTAGTGAGGAAAGCTTTCTGGGGCGATATAGCCCATCCTCTGGCAGCCATATTGGAAGCTGAAAGCCTATGGGGAAAAACAGCCATAAACAGCTGTTTATATTTAACAAAAATACCAGTCAAACATCTCAAAGATGTTTAGAAGACACTGTGATTTATTTAATGTAAATAATAAGATATTTATTTAATCACTAGTCGTCACATCGTCAGTTTACTGTGACAGTATCATTATAACAAATCTGCCTCATCAATGTTGTATCTGCAAGGAGGATTTATACAGTACGACCTAACTTCCGAATGACTTCCTCTTCCACTGCCATGTAAGTGCTTGGCAGAGTTGTCAACCATAGCTAAAACAGACCAGTCCTTGTTTGTCTGGGAAAGGGTTGTCTCTACAGCCTATTTTTCCCTGTCAGCCTCAGACAGAAGCATGTCCATCACCAACTCACCTCACAATCTTTATCCCTGGCCCCGTTCTTTGTCAAATATTTATATTGTCCCTTTTTGTTTCAGCTCTTTATCCGTTAACCCTGAAAACTAACTACTGACACTCTAGCTCCTCTAGCCACAAACATCACACCTTATCACAATGGCAGTGATGCCTGCTGACTCTCAAAAACAAATGTACCAAATTGTCACAAATTGTTGTGTGCCATGACGTTTTGCCCTGTTAAAGACAGTTGTGTTATAAAGTTATAGCTTTGTAGAGTTGTATGAAAAATTCATATCATCTAGTTCATAGAGTATACTGCCCTGCACTAATTTACATGATAACACTGGTGTTTTACTTTGCCTAGTGCATCAGATGGGTTGTCATCAACATTTTAGATCATGTTAGTCAACCACAAAGCTGTTAATCACAAAATAAACTTTCTACGGTGACTTTCAAATTTTTTTCTGTCATTTTGTAAGCTTCTTAGCGCTCACAGTGTGTTAACTTTCAACATTACCCATCCATCGAAGTTGAAATAACAGGTTTAGTTGTGTCTTACACCAAGCTTAAATATTTGTCACTCAACATCTTGTATATATCTCAGAGCTTCTGTTTTTCATGGTGACACCTACATTTTTTGTTTAAAAAGGGCGTGTAATGAAACGGTGTAGGATAACATACTGTAGTATACATAAGTATATGTGTAGATATTTGTGTTTTGAATAAACAGAGACACAAAAAGTGGTTGTCCGACATATGTAAGCAAAATTGCAATATATAGTGCCGATATTACAACAGAAAAGTCATGTATAATTCCATTAATGCACATTAAATACTAACAGTAATAGGTTGTTTTAGATGGCATTTTTATTAATTAATGAAACACACTGAAATACATTAGGTAAATTCTGTAGATTTCACAGCGTGATTGGTATTAGGGTTCAGTGTGTAACATTTTGGGGCATCATTTGCCAGAAATAGAATATAAATTCATAGGTATGTTTTCATTAGTGTATAATCACCTGAAAAAAAGAATTGTTGTGTTTTTGTACCTTTAGAATAAGCTGTTTTTATCTACAGAGGGAGCGGGTCCTCCTCTGTGGAGGCCGCCATGTTGAACCACCATGTTTCTGCAATAGCCCAGAATGGACAAACTAAACATTCAGCAATTTTTTATGAATTTTTCAGCCACCTTTCTCCAGGCTTTTTACAACTGAGGAAATGTCACTTTGGCACAGATCCTTTGTCCTAGTGACCACTATATGTTGTGTGATGATTGTTCTGTGCTTTCCAGGTAAACCCACCCTACTATGTCAAACTGGTGGAGCTGGTACCTCACCCAGAGACAGCAACAACCGTTGTGGACACCACCCATGCCCTAATGACCAAGGTAAAGTTTAAAGATTACATAATCCTGGGTTGTCAATTACTTTAGAATGTGTCACTAGTCCCTGGAATATCACACAATCGTAACAAATAAAAAAATAACGGCAACAAACACTTAATTCGTACATTCACCAAGCAAGTTGCACACCCTTGCAAGTCTCTGCAAGCTGAATCTCATAACATGCTGAAATAAATGGAAACCAGTGGCTTCCTGGAAGGAAGCAGTTAAAATCCCTAGGTGTATTAAGGTTGGCAGTAATGTAAATAATGTCAAACTTTGACTTCATTTTGCTACACATGCAGGTGTTCTTAAGAACTATTGCCATTCTTGACATGACTGATTTCTCTTGATCCAGGTTGGCCAGGCACCTGTCTGTCTGAAGAAGGAGATCGATGGCTTTGCTCTCAACAGAGTGCAAGCGGCCATTATCGCAGAGTCCTGGAGGCTTGTCCAGGTCAGTGTCTGGAGCGGTTTTCACATATAAACTTCGAACAGTGTTCTGACATTCAGACTGTCCGTTTCAGACATGTTCTCACATGTTAGAAATTCTCCGTTTGGTTTGAGCGTGGGGTGCCGCCTGGGTAGGTTGTGGAGAAGGAGGAGGCCTCATCCATAATTAGTGTTCAAACCACAAAGCTGTAGAACCCTATTGTGTTTGTGCCGGTTTATTATTATTATTATTATTATTATTATTATTATTATTATTATTACTATTATTTATTTT